AAGGCTTCTGGCAGGCATGGACTCTCCCTGCCTGGCAGGAACCTCAGCTCAGCACATCCAAGGAGAGCCCTCTCAAATATCACTGTGCTATTTCAAACCCACCAAGGACGCTGGACCCCTTCCACAGAGCCACAAATACCTCAGCTCCTGTCCACACCCAAGGCTCTGGGGCACTTTCCTACTTTCACCAACCCTCCTGAAGACAGAGGCACAGAGCTCGGGTGGAGGGGGGTCAGCAGAGTCCTAAGGGGTGGGGAGCACACACAGTGAGTGAGAAGGGATCCAGCCCTGCTGAAGCCACGCTGGGAACTACAAGACAGAACTGGAAGGGACCCCCTGACACACATCTTCAGAGCAGGAAACAAACTCGCCAAGGTCATGGCACTCCACGCCCACTCAGCTTTCCCAAGTGCTTCACTGGGGAATCACAGTGGGGCTTGGGATTGGGGGCAGCAGTCTGTGAGCCTCCTGAAATCGTGTCCAAAATCTGTGTGGGGACACGTGTTTTCTGGGAGGAAAGGTCCCAACTCTGATCCCGTATTCCCTGCCAAAAGAGCTACTGCACCGTAACAAACCCTTCCCGGAGCCCACAGCCCACCTCTGCGGTGATGCTGCCATTCACCTCCCAGAGCTTCAGTTTAATTCTCTGCTAAATGCATTTCTCCTGTGAATATAAATACCTTCCCGAGGTTTGGTCGGGATTCTGCTGTCCAGAGCTGAGAGGTAAAAGCTGAACGATGGGGAGCTAGCCCCGACACCTGGATACAAGCCCGTGGATGAGCCAAAAACAAGGCCTCCATTTCCTCGTATGTAAAATGGGGGTGAGATCTGATAATAAAGACTGGTCACCAAGGCAGCGCTATGCAGATACTATTCAAACCAGGCAGATATTGAAGAAGTGTCAAGAAAAGTACAGAGCAGGATTGACACACGGCACCCCATCACGGCTCCCCCCCACTGAGGGGCCACTTCAGGGCCTTAGGGCCTTAGCACCAAAAGGAAAATGAAATCAGCTACAAGGAAAGGGCTGCTGGCAGTTGAGATGGCAACACAGACGCTCGACCAACCCTGCAGACCCTAGAGGAGCCAGGGGGGTGGGGGAGTAGGGTAGTGAGGATGGGGGGGTATAGGCAGAAGGTGGCCCTGGACACGGTGGCAGCAAACACTGATGCAGCGGGGGGGCAGCAGCTCAAACAGCCCCGGGCCCCGCTCAGCACCTGACCCTTGCTCTGGCCTGAGGGGTCAGCAAGAAAACCACAGACAGCCTCTGGGGCTGTCTGGCCAGGTAAACCCACTTCTCAGAAAAGCCCACTCGGGAAACAGAAGCCTCCAATACTCTATATGTGGTCAACATCAGGGCACTGGGGCTTATCAGCAGTGAGCTGAGAACACTGAGGTTGCCAGGTATGTGGGAGAAACTAGACTGTGACTCAAAAACTCACCAATTCACAGAAAATTTAAACACCTCGTCTCGCTGAGTCACTTGGCTCATTCCGAGCCCAACAGCCTGGGCTTGACCTAAAGGAGACTTTGAGATGACCTTACGCCTGACCCAGCCTTCAAGAAGGGAACAAACATTACTTCCCTAAGAGAACGGGAATCTTTCCACCAAGGTCGTTTCCAGCATGAGGCCCATGTGGGGCATGGTATGGGCCCCCCCATATCATGAGCAATCACTGAATGCCCTGAAGGAAAACGGATGGCCAGTAACTAAACTCCAGGTTAGCCTCTCAATAAAGGATTTAAGGAGGCTAGTGAATGCACATTAAGATCACCTGGCTCTAGACAACATTTAAATGTTGTCACTATGGGGCCTGCTTTTTGGTGCAAGGGGTTAAGTCTCAGCACTAAGAAATGATCCACAGCCACTGTATCACTGTTCAATCCCGCCCAGTGGGGTGACCCACTTGGCACACAGACATCTCCTGTCTTGCCAGCTGCTCCCCTCAGCAGTGTATTTCAGTAGATCCGCTGTTCTGCTCCCCCACCCTATCTCTGGTGAATCCTCTTCCCGTGCCCATCCTCTGGCCTGTACCCCAGCTCTGTGTGCATAAATAAATATTAAAAAAAAAAAAATGATGTCACCGAAGGAATATCTTCCCATATTCCACTGGCTGTTCCAAACCAGGTTACTCACTGACCCCAAATTACCTAATATTTTTTCTTGCGCATTGTTCCTTAACTCTTTCATTAGCAAGTGTGCCTACTGTGTGCAAGGTACTGTGGGAGTTAGAGGTTAACAGCTCATGGTCTATTGCATGGAAGAAATAAGCAGTGGTTGGTGAGATAAATCTGAATGGGAAGTTCATGGGAATAGGCACCAACACCAGCCATGCATTGGGAGACTGAGTTACAACGGCATGGGCCTCAGTTTCTCCACGCCTTCACTCACGGGGTCAGTGGCGCCTTGAAATGAGACAGAACCCACAGGGTTCAGCATAGGGCCTGCGCATGGGACACTGCCATCAAAGACGATGGACAAGTGGTTTTTATAAACACTGAGATGAAGGAACAGTGGGAGGATGCAGGGAATGATCATAAAAGTCCTCCAAGAATGGCCCTCCCTGGTGGCACAGTGGGTCAAAGCACAGCACTGAGAAGCTAAAGCCACTTCAGCATGAGTTCAATCCCCGCCCCAGAGGTGACCCACATGGTGCAGCAGACCTTTCCTGACTCACCCACTGCTCCCCTCAGTAGTGTAATTAATCAGTCAGCCTGTCCTGCCCCCACTGTCTCTGGTGAAGCCTCTCACTGTCCCTGCACCTCTGGCTTATACCCCAGTTTTGTATGAATAAATAAACCTTTAAAAAAAAAAAAAGTTATCCAAGAAGAATTTAAAAGATGGGTAGGATCTGAATGGATAAGAGGTGTACATGCCAGAAAGAGGTGGCAGCAATAATTCTATCAAGAAGGGAGGAGGACTAACTAAATGGTAGCCAAGCGAATGGAGAGAACAGTCAAAAGTTTGAGAATGTCAAAGAGAAAAAAGGGTTCCTTTTCTTAATTTTTGCTGTCACCCCTACAACGCAATGCCTTCTGGTTCTCCCTCACAGCTTGACCCCATTCATCACTCCATCCTTCCTCCCACATGATGCCAGGTAAATCCCCAATCCAGCAAAAAAGGTTTTGACCTCAAAATCTGTGAATGCCCAACTTCAAATGGTGTGACCTACTCTCTGGGCAGAATCCCCTGAACATCTACAACCACCATAGCAATCCCCATACAACTCTGGGGCCATCCCTTAGATTACTAAAAGCAAATCCATGCACACTTTTGCTGCCACAACACTATTTCAAGATGGCAGACCAACCACAAATTGCCAGTCAGATTCACACTGACTTGAGCACCAAACTTTTGTTAAAAATTATTAACTTCTCCAAACATACCTTGCAAAAGATAGCACAGATATCCTATGTCAGGCAAGAGACAGATTTGAAATTGGCATGTTCACCCATCCCCCACTCTCAAATAAAACCATCTGCATAGCAGTGGAAAAGTGGCCACACAAGAATTGATCATTCATAGGTTTAAAAAAATAATAAAAGGCAAGACTTTAATTAAGCACAAAGGTCAAGCTCACTGTTTTTATATGGCTAATACATCTTAGTCTCCTCACATCTCCAGCTCAGGAAACTACCATCATCACCTTGGATTTTTCCCAGAAGAACCACACTGTGAGCAAGCCAATCAACTCACCTTTTACTACCAAGAGTTTACCAGACCGTGAGTACCAATCGCCAACTTCTCTTTTTCAACCTTGGAAAGGGCAAGAGAACTGGTCTATTTCAGCAGTGTTCAACTCCAAGGAAACTGACTTCTCAGTCATGTCAAAATCTTACCAACTCTGACTAGTCTTAAAACCAGTGAGACTCAGCTGGGTCTCCATCGCTTCATGTTACAGGAGAAATTCCCACCATGCAGATACTCTCGGTAATGGGCTCTGACCGCTTGTGACTCAACCAGATGGGCTCTGGTTTCCTAGGCCAGTTTCAAACTGTGTAGGGCACACTGATGGCAGATCAAGTGGGTGGCTTCAATGACATCCAAGCAACCAACTTCCATGCCCAGAGCCTGAAGACCAATCCTACCCACCTCATGCAAAAAAGACAGAACAAGCCACTTTTCATGCGCACGCGTCACACTCACAGGGGGACACCAGCCACCTATGAGGCTGGCAGGAAACAGAATGGAGGGAGACAGATCCTTGGGCACTTCCCATGACATCGTGCCCAGAAGGTCTTAACACTGTTTCTTCTCTATAGACTGACTCCAACTTGGGTTTGTGGCGTGTTGAAGTTCAAATTTTTCTTTCGAGGGGCACTGCCACAGGAGATGGACATGTGACAAGCATCTCTTTTGTATGCTTTTCATCAATCTGAAAGCACTCACCTGCACAGAGAGCAGGTAAGGAAGAAAGCGCTGCGACGTGAAGAAGTTAACTATCTTCACTAGACTAGTTTGAACTCAGGATGATGAACCAGTCCTGATCCCTAAAGCACACGTCTGAGTGGACAAGACGAGAAATGTAATTTGAAAAATCGTTCCTTGGAGAGTAACACAAGTCAGCGTCACCAGATTTTCGTTTCGCCACCCCAAAACACCAATTTCTTATTTGCTTTTTATTTATTTAATTTTGGGGGTTGTGCTCCTTTTTTTTTTCTTTAAACCAACACCAGAGAGGCTCAGTATCCTCCTAGTGAACTGGCCCTTCTGAACAGAAACCTCACATGGCTGAGGCCTACACCACGCCATGTAATTCTCCAGATACGCATCTAGGCTCTTTTGCATAATTACAGCATTATGAAATACCATGCACCAAGTCAGAAAGCTGCTGGAAGAGGGGACGGGGAGAGGTCGCAGGGAGGTGGGCAGAACAGAAAGAAAGGCAAGGAGAAAACAAAGACCACTGCCAATTGGCTGTGTGTTTGCTTTTGGTACTAAAGAAGTTAGAGCTATCCAACCCTGTAATTATTGCCAGGATTAAAAATTTGTTACTCACGTAATCATGAAAGGCCTTTGCTTCACTTGAATGTTCACAAGTGTCTCGCCTTTCAGGAGCTGCACAGTAAAGGTCCCAAAATACACTGCAAGTTGAAAAATAAAATAAGATCGGGTTACTAATTATTACTTGTGTGCCCCACGGCAAGTGCACAATGCACAGGGCGAACAGCTCCAGGTCTCCGGAAGATTCCTTCCCCCTCCCGGCATTAGTTGGGCACACTCAGCCCAGAAAACAAAATGGACCCAAGCTCTCTGGTAAGCCATCTACCTGCCAGAAGAGAATCTAGTTGCACCTACTACTACGTGGTGCCTCGCACAGGCTGCTGGTGACTCTGGCGGCATCGGTGTCAGGTAAGTGATTTTACCTCCTTTACGTAAGGGACAACTGAAGCAGACAGGTTGGTACCACCCACCCACAGATGCCCACATAGTGCGGGCAGGAGTCTGGAGATTCCAAGCCTCTCTCATCTATGCCCCTTTCACACAATGACCCCCTAACAACCCCCACCACCACCACCACCCACCCACCCAAGGGTGGCTGCATTTTGTAAAAAGGTTAAATTCTCACAGTCAGGGCAGGATCACCATTCACATGCAAGACAGTCCCGTGATTTTTGACATTAAGACCAACAGCCCACCTCTCCTCCCTCACCCCCACTCTCACCTAGACCCTTAGGCAAAAAAACCATTCCTCCCCTAGCCTCCAAATAACAGCCATCAATTAAGACATCAATTAGCAAAAGAAGAGTTTATGAACAAGTATCTTGTCCTTTCATGGTGAAATAGAGAGCCCTCCTCAGAGAGGCAGCTGTTGACTGGTCCAGCAGAGAGGAGGGAGAGGAGGCAGAAGTGGGGAGGGGGAGCTGCCTCAGACATCCCTGCTTCACCCCATCCACAATCACAACTTGTATAACATGACAACAGGCAGACAGGTCCCTTGTCAACCAGTAAAACCCTACACCAAAAAAGGGTTACCAATGCTATGACAAGGGACGTCAGAAGCCAGGTCGAGAGCCCAAGGCCCAGGGATGGACACCTGCTTGAAGAGTAATATGGGCACCCACAGAAGTCTCACTCCTGCCCCCGTGCTTCAGTCCCAGCCACAAACAGGCAGCACAGAAGAAATCTCGACTGCCAGGTCTGCCAGTCAGACAAGCATCTCGCTCAAGGTGTGCGGATATTGCAGCCTGCCCCTCTTTGGATCAGCTTGACTGCTTCCTCCAGTTCCAAAGCCACGGTCATTTGCTCAGTGTCAAATCTCACAAGGAAACTTATAACGAACAAGGCCACAGCCAGTCAGAGCCACCGCTGCTACAGCCCAGCATGTCACTCTCTCCCCATTAAGTGGGGCTGAGACAAGGATTGAGAAGTACTGAGGACCATGACCATCACCAGAAAATGGGGGCCTTCCATGAGCTGCGTGGGGGTTTAAGAGAACACTCCCCTCTGCTCTCTGAAGCTGCACACACATGCTTAACTCCTCCACATGCCAGAAGATTCCTAGTGCCATAAATTCCCCTGCCCCTTCTAAGTAACTTTTTTGCTCAAAAGTGTAAGTTTCTGCAAAAATCCATAATGGCCAGGCCCGCCAACGCCATCCACACACTTCTCTACAAAATTAACCACAGAAAACCTATCACCCACTCCTACAGGTAGAAGCCTTACGCCACACCACATACCTCCAGCACAGCATTCTGAGGTTGGCAGGAGTAATTAAAAACTCATTTTCCCTACGCAAGTTAGAACAGACACTTCATCCCCCTGCATTTCAAAGACCTGAAACAGTAACCTGAGTTGGCAGTAAATGCACTAAGATCCCAAGACATGGCGCTCCATTTTCCTGAACTTCACCAAAATGCCAAAAGCCACCCTTGCTTTCTTTTTCTTTACAAAACAATGTCTGAGACTCCACCGGTGGGCCTCACAAAACACCCAGATGTCACACTCAGGGCAACTTGCCCCTGCTGACCCTCGCTCCTGCCTGTCGAAAACCAGCAAGAGACCTGTGGTCAGTGGTCTTGCCCGCTGGGATCGGTGCCTGGTGGAGGATCACCAATGACAGAGCACCCCAAATTCCCAACTATAGGGACTCTGAGAAGTCAATAGGGACCAGTTAAGGTTCTTGGTAAAATGAAACTTTGCGGTTTTAGGGATGTTGGGCTGGCGGAAAGGGCCCACAGAATGAAAGGGCAGTCCCGTCAGGCTGAATCAGTATCTTTAAAGGAAGTGGCAGTCCCTTCTGGTTTCTGCTCGTGTGCCCAGAAAAGGGCCCCAGATGCCTTTCACTCTTGAGGTTTTTAGTTCATAGAGGAAAAGGGAAGGGACAACTGTAAACCAGACCTGTATCCCCTCCACCCTGCCCTGCCCCCTGCTCCCTTTAATTAAAGCAACATGCAAAATTGACAAAAACCCTTCAAGGTTTTTCCAAGCCCCTACCTAATACCCCAAAGTGAGAAGAGAAAGTAAAGTTTCTATTCAAACACCAGGTACAGTTTCATAAGTTTCCAAGAGAAGAGGGAAAAGGAGGCAAGAACTTTCTAGGCACCAGACTCCTGTGCCCTCTTCCTCCTTGGCCAGTCCTGCTCAGTGTGCCCAGGGGTGCCCACTGTGTGCAATGCCAAAGGTTAAGGCGTGGGGGAGGGAGGGCCTGCTCCAGGGCTCCCTTCTTTGTTCACTTGGACCAGGGGCTCAGAACAAAACACACACATGCACAAAACTATCACACAAACTTACCACCACCATGAGTGCAAAAACCCGGGCGGTTCTCCCAATGTGATGTTTTTTTCCCATCGAATCTAGAAAGGCGAGAAGAGAGATCGCTCAGAGGTGCAGAGGGGAGGGGGCGGGCGGGGAGGGGGGTTTCCAGAGCCAAAAGGCTGTGAAGACCAACTAACAATAAATGCCAAAAGGTGATAAAAATTCAAAATGGTGGCCACAGTGGCTGCTCCTGAAAACAAAGGCTCTAAGAATAGTGGGGAGGAGGGGGGTGTCAAGAAATTGGATGATGGGGGAGTTCCACTCACCTCGGACAAGAAGGTCTGTGCAGATTTCTGTGCTCCTACGTGCAGTAAGTATTCGTAGACGTATAAAGCTAACCTGGGAAGTGGGCAGGGGGCAGAGAGAGAGAGAGAGAGAGGGACGGAGTCAGATGGCCCTGGGCGCTAGCTCCAGGACCTTGCCAGCCGGCTCTGAGCCCTGTCTGCGCTGTGGCCCCAACCAGAGGTGAGAGGCTAACTTGGCCCTGCCTAAAGCTGGAGAGAGAGCAATTAGTGGGTGGGTACCAGGGGACACGTCACCTCAAGCCGTGGGGACTGGAGAGCAACCCCCAAACTTGAACTTCCAAGTGGCGTCAGGGCCAAACCCACCTAGGTCTCTCAAACTCGCAAGCCACCGACCCCAGAGCCTTCCTCCTTTCCCCAACCCACTTTTTGCCTCCCTCTCCCTAGCTTTCAGAGTCCGGGGAGACTCTGCCGTGGACTCCGGGGTGTTCGGCGCGCTCTGGAGAGGGCAGCAAAGCGCCACCCTCACCACCACCCCCCACCACCAAACAACTGTCCCCCAAGCCTAAGGCCAAGCCCGCGCCGCCGATCCAGCCTAGCCTGGCGCCCCGGAGGGCGCGGGGCCGGCGCGAGGCCGAGGGCAGGGAAGGGAGAGCGCTCCCGGCCAAACAAAGCCCCCGGCACGCACTCCTCACGCCGCGGGCGGACAAAAGGAGCCTTCGGGGCTGCAGAAGCCACGCGCCCCCTGCCCGCGCCCGGTGGGC